CTAAACCTAATTTATCAATATTACCAACATGGGCTTAGCTTGATCAAACTGTTGTACCAATTCTTCTTCAAGCAATGTCTCAACTTGCTAAAGAACGGTCTGCGAAACCAATTAGTTTTCTAGCTAAATATTTACTGAATCATAAAGATAAATACAATGGATAAAAATACGACAGAAAAAAATCCAGTATGACAATAGAGTATTCAAACAGTTTCTTTTTTTCTGTTCAATTTATTGATACAGTTTATTTAATTATTAGCACCAGATGATTGTGGTTCAGGTGGAAAATCATCATCATGAATAGGATCACGTGGTGCTGCTTGTCTAGATGAATAATTATCAACAGAAGCACCTGTTGATGGATTGTTTGAAGAATCATAATTAATAGAATGCGGTGGTAGTGGTGGTGTTATTAAAATACCATAATTAGGACTGGCATCTGCTGTAGTTTGAATAGCAGAAGTATAATTATCATTGTTAACTGTTGTTGATTCATTTGGAAAATCATCATTAACACGATCATGTGGTGGCGGTTGACTTGGTAAATAATGACTAGCAGCAGCATCTGTTGAACGTGTATTTGGATTAACATAATTATCAGATCGAGTTGGTGCTGGTTTAGTTAAAAGCATATTAGGATTAGCAACTGATGTTGATTGAGGACCAAAAGAAAAATTAGGATTAACACTTGTTGGTGATTCAAATCGATAACCATAATAAACAGAATCATGCGATGATGGTTCAGTTGATAAATAATGAGTAACAACAGCACCCAGAGCGAACTCACCCTGCCGGATCCTATCGGATCCGTGATTAACCGACATTTTCCGACAGTCGGATCCGATGGGATTCCGACGGTCGGAAACCTTCATTATCCGTTAATTTCCGACGTCGGATTCTGTTGGATTCCGGCGACAGGATCCGATAAGATCCGATAGTCAGAAATTGTCGAATCCGATGAAAACCGATGACATCCGATAGGTGGAAATCGTCGGATCCGATGAAATTCGATGACATGAAAGCATTTAATTTCGCCTATTCTAATTTTTTATTTTTAGATTGTTTCCAATGATAAATCAAACAGTA